GAGAAAGAGGATGATTTGAGGACCAAAAAGAGGAATCCAAAAAAATTTGTAAGAAAGCCCAAAACCTACAACTAAAAAAGAAAGGTTCTTTCTTTCAGCATGAACAATTCTCTAATAATTTTTTAGATAATGCATTTATAGAAACTTCTCAGAGTAACTGGTATGCTTTCAATCTTTAGATTAAATGTATCCCAAAAGCAAAACAAGTAAGACATTTTCTTAGGGAGTGCACTGAACTAAATTGATCATGACTGAGATAGTTATTCTTGTGTTCCCAAGACCACATATAAGACATTTTTACTATTCTTGGAAAATCTTGTTAAAATGGTACTATTCTTGGAAACTCTTGTCAAAAAGGTCTAGTAGCAAAAGTCCCAAGAAACATTTTTAAAAGATCAATACTTATTCTCTTCCCTTTCCCCATAACACAGATTTTTATTACTAATCTATGATGGGAAAAAATGTTGCTCTTTAAAAATGAGTTTGCAAATCTCCCAAATACTTTGAAATGTAATCTTTAAGTATGCAAGACTTTACATGTAAAATGGTTTGGAGTACATGATCTTTGACTTTTAACTCAAAGTCCACTGATAACTTAGTAGGACTTAGCCTCTTCTTGATGCCTAAGAACCATCATTAGGGTCCATTGATAATACTGCACTATAAATTTAATGATTGACTCAATCTGGAAGTGATGTAGGAGGTCAGCTAGTTTTTCCACTGAATTTCCCAGCATGCTAAGCTTTCTCAGCTTTTTTAATGTTGTTCTGCTGTCTTCTCAGAGCATTATAGACATTTTAATACTTAAGCATACTCAAAATAAATGTCTAGAAAACAAAGATTCAAAAGAAGAGCTCCCTGAGACACTAGAACTAGCTTTATATTAGCATTGTTCTGTTATGACTCTTTTTTTACAATCACAAAACAGTCTGACCAGTTGTCACTGAAAAAAATGTTCATTATTTACCTGTCTTATAAAGAAGTCTCCATGGATTAGAGATACAATTCCAAAGTTTGTGTACTTAAAAATATGGTCCATCAGCCACATCATCTGAGCAACAACCTAAAATATTTAAAAGCAAGAAATATTCGAATGTTGTAGAGAAGAAACCTAATTATAGCCAGCAAGTCTCTAGGTTTAAAAAGTAATCATTAAAGCACACTCTTAATTAAACTAAATATCTTATATCTAACACTGTTTCTACCAATGCTAATAGTCTACATGAAAAAAATACAGTTTTTGATTCCAAGTCCTGGTATCCTAAGTCACAAGTATATATGTTATGTATAGCAAATAAAGCTAATTTAGCTTAATTTTAAACTTATTTCAAATTTGTAATATCCTAAGCAAAGTTTCTGATAATTCTTATGTAACTTATAAAATTATCTTGAAAAAGTACAATGAAATGGTTAAAGTTATCAAATGAGGGGAAAATTATATATATATATATATATATTTTAAGGCTTTATAAAATGTGAGTACCTGGGACCAGCAGATGTCATAATGATTACATCACTGGATTCCCAAAAAGCCAACCACAGTAAGAGTCCTGGACCTGGTGGCTTGAAACTCACACAGGGTGCATATATGTGCTTGCCCAAAATCCTGAGAGGAGAGTGGAGGAGAAGGAATTACGGCACAGCCAACCCCTCCCGGGGTGTGTGTGTGTGTGATTTCTTGCTTTCTGTCTCTGTCTCTCCAGCAAGTGTATGTACCATATGGCAAAAATCTCTCTTAAAAAAAAAGTGAGTACCTTAATGGCTAAAATATAAAATGCTAAAAGTAAAAATAAAATACTTAAAGATTAACTTAACAGAATGATTATACATTCTATTATGTCATAAAGAATATTTGGGGCTAGCAAGTGTTGTGGTAGTTAAGGCTCTGGATCTCATGTGGCTGACTCTACAGTTCAAGTCCCAGACCCAGCAGCTTGAAAGACACCAGGCACATGTGTATGCATGCCTAAATTTCCAAGAGGAGAATGGAGAAGAGATTTCAGCTTGGCCAACCCCCAGGGGGTGATTTCTCACTTTCCTACTCTCTCTGTTTCTCTTCAGCAAGTGTACATGTCCTATGGCAAAAATCTTAAAAGGAGAGAGAGGATATTTGTTAGTTTGTGCAAAGTCATACTCTTTGCCAGAATAAAAATACTTACAGTGCCTCAATCTTTCAGCATGAAAACAGTATCCATTGCTGATAAGAATGGATTATATTGAGAGCAAGACTTTACTTCAAGTAAAGTTAAAAACTGAAAGGAAGTGTAGGGCCAGCCTATGGCCTGTTGGTTAAAGCAGTCAGATTCCACATGGCTAACTCGTGGGTAGAGTCCTGGACTCAGCAGCTTGAAATGCACACTAGGCACATGTTTGTGTACCTGAAATTCTAAAAGAAGGTAGCAATGGAGAAGGGATTGCAGCATGACCATTCCATTCCCCATGAGGGATGATTTCTGCTTTCCCTCCCTCCCTCTCTCCCTCTCTCTCTCTCTCTCTCTCGTGAGCATACATGCCTTCTAGTGAAGTTTTAAAATAAATAAATTTAAGTGCAAGTGGAATCTAATTGATGAATTAGTTCATTGCTTTTCCTCCTGCTGAGAACATGGCATTCCTTGTGATAAATCTTAAATAAAATGAAAGCTACATTTTCAACCAAGAATACAATGATCTCCACTTTGGTTTCCTATGGGGATAATAAATGTAAACATCAACTCTAAACACTAAATATTATGAACTTATATATAAGGGGGAAAAAACTGAACACTGACACCATGTGCTGTTATTGCAAAAGCACTATAAAAACCCATAGATAGGGCCAGCAGGTGGTGTGGTGATTAAAGTGAACTCCCTCATGACTGACCACAGTTCGAGTCTAGACATGATGGCTTGCTTTCTCACTTTCTCTTTCTCTCTCTCTGGTGAGCATATATGCCATATAGCAAAACTTTAAAAAATAAATAAATAAAATAATTTTTAAAAAAGCTCATAGATGGGGACCAGCAGGAGGCATGGTGGTTAAGGCACTGGACACTCCCACATGGCCAACCGTGGTTGGAGTCCCAGACCTGGTGGCTTGCTTTCTCACTTTCCCTCCCTTCCTCCCTCTGTGTGTGTGTGTGTGTGTGTGTGTGTGTGTGTATTTCTCTCTAGTCAAATTAAAATAAATGAATAAATAAATAATATTAAATAAAATAATTCTTTTAAAAAAAGCTCATAGATAATATAGTATTACAGTTTATGCCTTAATTTTTCAGTTATACAACTACTACTCCATCAGCTTTAGCATACCATATTAAATCACTTTATGAAAAATAAAGATATGTGCCCAGTGAGTTCCCTAGTTGATTGCTAGAGTAGAATAATCACCAGCATCTTGTTTTTCAGTCTTGTTTTGCTTTGCGGCGATGACTACTTTATTTAAATAAAGACTTGAACTAAAAGGAGTTTGTTGAAAACTGCCTGAAGATATAAACAAACAAAAAGCAAATGGATTCTACCTATGCTGCATTTTAGTTTTATACATGGTGTAGATACGATTTATTGATCTCTGGGTTTAAAATAACACTAAAGCAACTAGCTTACGTTTACTTTTTCATTTGTTGTGGATTTAGGACCATCTAAAACAAACAAAATTCTAAGACAGCCAAGTTATCTTCTGAGATTTGTATAGACAATCCAGTACTAAATTATTTTAGGAGAAATGTTATAAAGCAGAAAATGTTTATTAAATAGTGAAGTTCTTTTGACAGAAATGAAAATTCTTAAGTTTCTTTTTTTTCAAGATTTTAAATTTCTTTCGAGGGAGAGGGCTTGGCAGGTCTCATCCTGCCCCGATGCTCTTGCCCCAGCTCTCCAGCTAGTCAGGATCGTGGGTACCCAGGATGTTTCTGGCCAACTCAAGATCCAAACCCAGTTGGCCATGCTACTTCCAGCACTGCTGTTCAATACTGCTACTACCTGTAGCCACTGAGACTGGAACTAAAAATTCTTAGTTTTATCATAAATTGCCATAAAAGGGCAAGATATTTCATAAATATCTCAGATATTTATTAAAAAGGTATCATCACATTTAAAAAGTACAATTTACTTTATTTTCCTAAAAAAATTTTTAAAAAGACGTAGTAAACATAAGCTGTCTGAATCAATATAAGCATGTAAAATCAGCAATTCAAACATAGCTTTAGTAGCATGGGAAAATCAGGCCTAACATCTTTCTTTGCAATATACTATTAATGTGTAAATGAAATCCAAAATAATACTGACATTTTCTTCTGTCTAAAGATTCCCAAGATAACCTAATTTACTGGCCAGTTTTACTTTTCTATCTTAAGCAGTACTGGTTTTTGTGTTTGTATTTTTATTAAACTAGTGATCTACCACTTCATCTCAAGACAGCCTTCAATCTTACTATGTTAACTTTGCTTTTATCCAGTTATTATTATTATTTTAAAGTATAAGTATTCATTTCAAGAGAAAGAAAGAGAGACAAAAATAGAGAGATACCCCTAAGAGGGTCCTCATGGCACGATCCACCCCCAGTCTCGCTCGGCCCAGATCACAGGCTTGCCCAGGCATACAAACCCAGGGCCTTTTCCATGTGTATCGAGTTACATTAATGCTGTCCCACTACCTACTCCCCAACCCATTATTATTTTAAAAAATAGTTGTATTGTGCTATAAGTCATACTGTTATTTTTTTAAGTCTCTAAATCCCTTTCTTGGAGTAACTTAAAATTAGATACTTTTTCTTTATAACATTTTCTTAATTTTCAGAAAAATATATACATTAAAGTCTAAGTCTATGTTTCAAAGCAGTCAGACACTTGAAATAATGCTCTTTAAACCTTCCCTTCCTGGGTGTCTAGGACACCCTCCAGAGAGCTTACCAGTCCTTTGTCCTGGAGGCACATCATCAGTGTGCACACATCTCCCGTTGCCTGATGATTCACCAACATCACTGCTTCATCTTTTGAAATTGCTTTAATATCTTCCCCCCATTCCATCACTGTAAAAATAAAAAGTTTCAAAGCTGTCATTTTAAAGATGTTTACATTACCAGAAACCTTCTGTTAGAAAAAATGGTGTATATTAATAATGAGACATTGCCTAGCTAAAAACTTCTGAAAGTTTAGAACTAAATTATTTTCTCTAAAAATCAGAACATTGATACAGCATTTTATAAAGCCCCAAAACATTAATCAAAATATAAAATGGCTGGGGCCAGCAACTGATGTAGGGGTTAAAGTATTGGACTCTCACATGGCTGATCATGGTTCGAGTTTCAGACTCGGTAGCTTGAAACTCACACCAAGCACGTGTGTGTGTGTGTGTGCCCAAAATCCTGAGAAGAAATAGAGGAGAAAGGATTGCGGCATGGCCATCCCCCCTGGGGGGGTAATTTCTTACTTTCTGTCTTTCTGTCTCTGTCTATCTGGTGAGCGCACATGGCCTATAGCAAAAATCTCTCTTAAAGAAAAAAAAAATTTGAACATCACGAAAATATGTATTTCCACTTTAAAATAGAACTAATCAAGATGTTAAACTTATTTAAACTCTCCAGATGAAAAGTCATTGCACCGGGCTGGCAGGTGGCATGGTGTTTAAGGGTAGTGGACACCCACATGGCTGGCCACGGTTCTAGTCTCGAATCTGGCAGCTTGCTTTCTCACTTTCTCTCTCTCTTTCTCTCTCCCTCTTTGGTCAAATTAAAATAAACCAATAAATCAATAAAGTTAAATAAAATATTTTCAAAAAATAATAAAAAAAGAGAAAAGTCATTGCACCAAAACCTGAATGTAAGTTTAGTCTTAAGTAAAACAGTGCTACTTCTATGTAGTTATACCTCATTTCACAGTAAATTCATTTCATAGAAAAAATAAAATTAGGTATCAGTTTTCAATCATCAAGATTCTATAAAAAAGCCTCTAGGATTCATGCAGTGCCTGACATGAATCACCAGAAGCTGATTATACATTAATATTGACTTTTATCTCATCCTCATCTCACTCACTGTGAGAAAGAAAGAGGTCAAGCCACCTGTGTGTCATAGTCCTGGATGAAATAGGGATGGGGAGCCCAGGACCCCATCTGCTTCACCTTCCCTTCTCACCCTTCACTGTCACCCACCACAGTAGAGCTCCTCATAACATAGCACAGCTCTTCATGAGAATTCATTTGAGAAAAGGTTCTGCTGACTTTTTTCTTTCTATTAAAATTCATTTAAGCAAGGCATCTATCCAATCATTTTAAACATCTTAAAATGTTGTACTAGGAAAATTTTCAGCTGGGCTGAAAATATTTTAAGTTGTAGTACCTACCTGCAAAGCCAGGTATTCAAATCATTCTTCAAATGTGTACTAATCAAATACCTTTCAATGTCTATAAATTTCTTTCTACTTTAAGTATTTTAAATGAGGCCCAGCTATGGCTTGGTGTTAGGCAGCTGGATCCTTTATGGCCTACTGTGTGGTTCAAGTCCTGGACCCAGCAGCTTAAAAAACATGCTGGGTCCATATGTGTACATGTCCAAAATCCTGAGAGGAGAATGGAGAAGACAGTATAGTGTGGACATCTCCATGAAGAGTGCTTTTTCACTTTTCTTCTTTCTCTCTCCCTCTCTCTAGTAAGTGCATGTGCCTTATGGCAAATTTTTAAAAAATTAAATGAATACAGTATGGAAATTCCATTAGAGATGATGTCAAATGCTCCTTAAAGAATACAGGGAGAACACTGGGAGAGCCCAGCCTCTTATAAAATGCACCACCAACTTTTCTTCTGAGTGGCCTTTCCTTTCCCAAGTTCCAGTTCAGTTCAGCTGACAAGCATGAACTCTATTGAAGCTTATTTAAACAGCTGAAACATTGCTTGGGGGGAATAGAAATCTGTACAATCTTTTTGGAAGTCAATTTGGCACTATATTTCAAAATTAAGAAACTTTTTTACTTAGTTATTCCACTTCTAGGAATTCATCCTACAAATATACTCATTATGGTATTTATATGTGCAAAATGACACACATACAAGGCTATTTATGGTACCATTGTGCAAGAGTAAAGATGAAAACAATTAAAAAGGGAGGCTAGCTCAAGTCACAAAAATGTAAATCATCTATTTACATAGATGTTTCATAACCAAATGGCTTTAACCTCATTTCCATACATAAATGCACAATGCTAGATACCTAGGCCGAGACAGTGGGAAAGAATATATGTGAATGTAACTGAAAACAAAAATAAGTTTATTACATAAAGTGCATCTTACCTGTTTGATTTATACAAAAGTAGATACATTTTGTAAGTGTGACTGGTTAAATGAAATTTGGATCCCCCTGTTTTGAGTTGAATAGCATACCCTCAAATTCATATACATCCAGAATCTTTGAATCAAATTAAGATGGGGGTCATATACTAGATTAGGGTGAATGCTAAACCTAAATCATATATAACTAGAATCTTAGAGAGAAATGTGGACACAGTGACACACAGGGAGAATACCACACTGGGGCAGACTAGTCTGATGTGTCACCAAGGACAGTGGACAACCACCCACAAGCTAGAGGAGAGGCCAGGAAGGACCCTGTGCTAGAGCCTTCAGAGAGCATGACCCTACCAACACCTTAATTTCAGACTTCTAACTTCTGGAACTGGGAAAGAATAAATTTCTGTTGTTTGTGGTGCTATATGGCAGCCTAGGTAATTAATATAACCCCTCAAATTTCCCCATCCTCTTTTCTTCCCATTCTCTTTTTCTACAAATTATAGATCCTTTAGGGGGGGTGAGGAGGGGATCAAGTATGGGAAAAGAACTGAAGCACATTTTTAATATCTAAAATATTTTAACAGACACTTAATATTAAGTGTTATGAATGGTTCTTGGGCCAGGCCCATGGCCTGGTGGTTAAGGGAGTCAGATCATGCATGGCCTACCACATGGTTAGAATCCTAGATCTAGCAGCTTAAAAATCCTGAAAGGAAAAAAGAAGCAGAAGGGATTGCAGTGTGACCATCCCCCAAGGGGACGGCTTTCTATCTTCCTTCCTCTCTTTCTCTCTCTCTCTCTCTCTCTCTCTCTCTCTCTGTCTTTGGTGAGCACAAGCACCTTGTAGGATTTTTTTTTTTAAATAAAAGTTTGGAGAGAGAGAGAGAATATATTTTATCTATGAAGTAGGTATGTTCCTCAGATCATATTCTGCTACCCCAAGACCAATAAGTATAACAATAAAGCTAATAACTTAACCAAGGGGTTGGGTTATTCACATGCTAAAGAACAGAAGCTATGGACACCTGCCAGTTCTTACAATGTGCTTGATTAGTAGAATAAAAATACTCGAACACTCTGTTCTATGAAATGAATTCTCAAAAAGGAATTGGGTCAGGTCCACTATTTCCAAAGGGAATGAAGGGCAACTGCATAAAGGCCGGAAAAGATTTCTAATTGTGATCAACTTAAAAAATTCCTATTAAAAAAACAAAGTCAAAGATTATCCCATATTATACATACACATAAACACATTCTCTCTTTCTCTAACATATATATCAATAAACTTCATCAAAAGTTATTGATTAGGGGCATGTGTGCGTGTGTGCCCAAGATCCCGAGAGGAGAATGGAGGAGAAGGGATTGCGGCGTGACCATCCCCTCTGGGGGGTGATTTCTCGCTTTCTGTCTCTCTGTCTCTCTCTGTCTGTCTGGCGAGCGCATGCGCCCTATAGCGAAAATCTCTAAAAAAAAAAAAAAAAAGTTATTGATTAGAATTGATCAGGTCAGTTTACACCTCAAAAAGAAAATAAAAATAATAATAACCTACCATGAACTCCTTAAAAACAGTGATATTAAAGGTGTTACACTGATTCGCAAAACAGAATTAATATGGAGAAGAAAAGTTGCTTAATATACAGCCTTCAGCCCAACTGTGGTAGCAAGCTGACTGATACTGTTAATCCGGAGGTTGAGGCCACATGGAGATTTGGGTTCCATTCCTGGCCCACCCTGAAAGCCAAACACAGTGATGCCCACCTGTAGTCCCAGCTGTTTGAGAAGCTGAGGCAGGAGGAGATACTGTCTAAAAACAAGATACACTCATAGGAGTGCAAACATACACACAGATATCCATACCTTGCCTTTCAATGTTTGAAAAGAATGACACGAGCACGTCAATGCCACAATCTATTTTATCGTGTGCCTTAGTCTTCTCACTTATAAAACATTAATATCATTAATGTCTCTCAAATACTATGAAAATAAATGAAATATAATTGATAGTACCACAGAAACCCTGAGTAATTGGATTATATGACAGAGAAATCACTTTTGGAATCACTATTAGCCAAAAAAGCCATGTGACGACTGTGTCATATAAGGTCAGATATTCCAATACGAACAGTTAAGATCAAGAGCCAAAATAACTTCACATAGTTCAAGAATGTGGCTTTCAGCAGCCCAGGTTAGAGGCAGACTAGATTGGACTTACCCAAGGTTAGGGGTTAGCAAAGCAAATGAGGCAAGGGTGACCATGTGAAAGTGGCTTAAAGTACTGATTAATAGAGGGGAGACTGAGGAGAACAGGATGCCAAGCAAAGGGGTGATTATCTGGAAGGGTAAAGGAGGGCAATTATCATAGACATAGGATGCCACTCCCATCGCCATGACATTCTATTCAAACCTCCAGAAGGAAGGCCCAGCCATTCTGAAAAAGCACCCACCCCCGAATCTGATCTCTATTTCTAAATGGGAACCACTGGAATTGAAGTATTGAAAAAATTTTGTTTGTTTGTTTATTTGTTTGTTTTTTAAAGCAAGTATACCGAACAAACTAGAAGATCATGGTCAGTGTTTCTTTTTTTGGCACTTACATTTTTTTTTTGAGAGTTTTTCGCTATAGGGCGCGTGCGCTTGCCAGACAGACAGAGAGAGACATAGAGACAGAAAGCGAGAAATCACCCCCCAGGGGGGATGGTCATACCGCAATCCCTTCTCCTCCATTCTCCTCTTGGGATCTTGGGCACG